TTAAATTAATGGTTGAATCAAAATAGCATGGCCCTATTCAATAGAATGTAATTTATTCTATGATTTACATTTAAGTACAATTTGAATGAAAAAAAGAGGGATTTTGTTTAATTAAACATAGTTTAACAGATTAGGAATATGGCAATCAATAATAAATTTCAAAAGGCAATTAAGCACCTCCAAATTTTAATGTTTATTAATTGTTCAGACAAAAATATATTGTCTTTATTTTAAGTTATAATTTAAGTTAGACAAAGAAAATTGATAGTATTTTTAAAAATAAACTTGTATTGTTATTCAAATTATGATATATATTTCCAAAACAATAATGGAATTTTAAACGAATAGCATTTGACATTGAATTGAATTCCTTAGAAATATTTACAATGATTGCTATTTCTCTTAATATTGATTCCAAGTCTAATAACAGTGTTGGATTCTTGTATGGATAATTAATATTTTATTCGTAAAGTATAGATATGTTATTTGCTATCTTTTTCTTATCTTTGATTGCTAACTTTAGCAGTCTGTAAATAAGGGAGATGGATTCTCTGTATTAATATAGTCAAGAGTCGATAGTGATATCTGAAAAAGCACCATCAATTTTCAATGCTTTTAGATATGGATTATGGTCAAAATATAATCCTTTAACAAACATACTTTAAGTGGGAAATGTGGGAATGTTTGATAGCGATTGTTTTCTTTTACATAGTGCAGTAGAGGAACTTTCATTAGCTCTTAATCTAATTTATTATGATTGTGTAGATTATTCTTCAAAGAAAGTCCAGAAAACAATTGCATTTATAGACAATGATGAAGTTGAACATTCATTTACAATCACTATAGATCCCCTCGAGTATGAGAATGTTTGGTATTTATTTGAAATAATATAATGGCCATTATTAGAAAGATTTGAGTTAAGGTTTATTTATAAATAAGAAACCTTTAATAGGTTTTTGAATATTAAAAAACCTTTTAAAGATGAAAATTTAAAGCTTATTTTTGGTGGCGGTATGATAGTAACCAATTCTAAGATTGGAATAATTACACCAGGTACAAACTGTAATTCTTTCTAATTATCTGGATGGTTAAAAATTACTGATATAATTTAGAATTCAGATGTATTTACTTATTAGTTAATTGCTCTCACATCAAATTTTTAAAACTAATTAGCCAATAAAAATTTATCACCTTTTACTTTGTCTTATAAGATTTCTCAAATAAAGAATTAAATTATTGTAACAACTTATAGTTACACATTTCCATCAGCAACAATTAGTTTTTCTGACGATCCATTTCTAATAACAAAAGAACTCGATCTCACAAATACATTACTTCTTTGGTAAAAATTATAAGTCCAACTACTTGATGATTAACTTATAATTAATGTTAAATTTTATGAAGGACATGATATTTATGAATACAACATTTAATAATAAGTAAATTAGTTTAAATGCACTCAATTTAAACTTTAGTATGGTAACATTTTATAATCAACTGCTAATTACTTTAAAATTATAGTCAGAAACATGGGGTTTAATAATTGTAATGCAATTGATACATTATAAATTTGTCATTACAGTTGTGAAGAATGTGATGGTCCAACTTCAAATAACTGTTTATCTTGTTCTATTGAGTCTTAAAGAATATATTTACCTGATTTCAAAGCTTGTGTTTGTCCCTTTGATACAATTGATGAAAAGAAATGTAAATCTTACACAGACCTAAAATTTAAAGTTTCAGATAAAAGAAAAGTAATGCCTAAATGCAATTATGGGTATTTTGAATATGAAGATAGTTGCTTGCGTTGGTATCTTTCTTTAATATACAAGCCCTACCATAATTAATGATTAATTTGTTATTTGCTTAGAGTGCATATAAAATCCTTAAGGATGGAGCAAGAATTCTTAATGTGAATATGATTTATACATAAGCAAAAATGGCGAAGTGGCAAATTAGAAATGGAGAGGTACTCTAATTTATTATACTTTTGATGGAGATGAGTTATTACTTTGCAACAGATGTTCAAAGAAATCTCCTTTTTTGGCTGAGGAATAAGAAATATAATAAATTTTAGGTCAACAATATCTAAGTTTTCAGTGTTAATTTTTGTTTGATTATTGTAGCCGTTGTTGGATATCTGTTGATGGATTTG